CCGCAGTCCTCGCAGGTCCCACACACCAGGGGAGCTCTGTCCCCAGCCCCGGGAATGCTTCTCTCCATCCCTGCTAGGAGAGATGTGGGATACGGTGAGGTGAGGATCAGGAGCTCCACGTCTCTCATCAAAATCAGTACCTGCACAAGCACTTGCTCAAGGTCAGCAACGACCTGCCCTGCTCCTGACCCTGCTCCGAGCTCTTGCTGCCAGGGAGAGGAATTCAAAGCCCCAGCCCGGTTTTGTTCTCACCTTTGGTCTGTCCAGGATGGAGGGTCATGTTATTCAGCCTCTGGTTCAGCTCCTGGTTTGCCCACATAAAACGGCTCAGCTCCTTTTCCAGTGCCTGAATCCTTGCCTCATACTGCAGCTTGCTGCTGGCCAGGCCCTCATCCATGTGCTCTACAAGGAAAACCACGGTCATTTCAAGCTGCAAGCCCTGGGACAGACCAGGGAGTGCCACTGCTGCCTGTTTCGGGAGCTGGGTGATTACCCTGGCTCTGCTGGAGCAGTAACTGGATGTTCTGCTCGTGCTCCTTCTGCTGCAGGGTGAGCTGACGGTCCATCTCCAGGCGCTGACGCTCCACGGCTGCCTCCAGCCAGTACACCAACTGCTGCTGCTCCTCCAGCTGCATCTCCAGCTCGGAGAAGGCAATGTGTTGCCTGTGCTGGTCCTCCCGCAGTGTCACCACCTGGCCAGGGCCCAAAAGCAAGAATTGTCTCAGCTCCCTCAGAGCCTGGATGCTTCCCTTCCCTGATCAAGCTGTTTTTTTAACGCAGGATCCAAAGGTTAGTAGTTCTGGGACGTCAGGGAAAATGCACAGTATGAGGCATGAAGAAAGCTTGAAACTAAGGAAAACAAGAGTTCAGTCAGATACTACAGCTCCCACCAGCACAGAGTGTAGCTGTGTCCCACCTTGTCAAAGTACTTGCAGAGCAGAGCTCGGGTCTCGGAGGAGGAAAGGTAGCTGAGCTTGGCCATGAGGTTCATCTCACACTGGGACAGCAGGCTGGCTGAGGCCCGCAGCACTCGCTGCCTGCACGTGATGGACTCGTTCTTGTACTCAATGGCTGCATCCAGAGCTTCAATGGCCTCATCCAGCTGGAACAGGATCCGTTCTTCCTGCCAGGGCAGAGGTGCAGTTACTAGGGAGCAAAGGGTTGGTTGTGTTTCAACCTGCCTTAGCTTCTCAATAGTGCTGGCAAAAAGTGGGGATACGCACAGTTCAGGCATGCGGGGAAGCATCTGCTCACGACCCCTCAGCTCAAGTCTTTACTTACTACCTCACGCTCTTGCAAGCAGAGCAGCCCAGCCCAAGAAGAGGTACCTCTGGGGACAGCAGGGTGCCCTGACGCAGCTTGTTGTCCAGCTCCAGCCTCTGTTTGAGCAGCTGGTCCTTCTCCTGGCGCAGGCTGTTGATCTCCTGGCGGATCTGCTGCTGGTCGTGGGCGCTGCCGTGACGCAGCTGCCCGTTCTTCTCAGTCAGCTCCTTCTCCAGGTGCTCCAGGCGGCTGGACACACGCACTATGTCATCTGTCAGGGCCTGCAGCAGAGGATGCTCAGGGAGGATCTGCTCTAAAGGCAGGTCAGCCCCTCTCTACTTCCTCTGCAGGTCAAGTGACCCCACAAGCACATGTAAGCCAAGGGCTATAAAACCAACTAGCTCGGCGGCGCAGCACAGGCAGGCACTCCTGTGGAGGTAGATCTGCTACCCACTTCCCAGCACTGCCTCACCCTGGCCTGGAGCCCTCTGCCAGACTCAAGGTGGCACCCAGGTCTTCCAGCCACCCACCTCTGCTGGAAATCCAGCAAGGGCTTGAGGTGTCACAGTCTTGTCCTACCTGGCTGGAGCGAAGTCGTTTGCTCTCCAGGCCGTTCTTCTCCTGCAGCAGGGCTTCCTTCTTGGCCACGATAGTTTCCCGCTTCCTCAGCTCATCTTCCAGCTCATCTAGGGCCCGGCGCTGCTCAAGGACTTTATCCATCTCCATGTCCAGCCACTTCTTCTGTTCCTCAATTTTCTGATGGGAGGAGAAGCAAAGGGCATGTACATGCATGCAGACAGCAGCAGCAATGCCCAGGACTGCTGGACTGAACAGCAGCAAGGTTGAGATCAGTGTCTTGAGTCCCTCTCTGCTAACCCCTATAGCCCAGACTTCACTGGTTTTATCCTTACAGCTGCTCTGGGAGGCAGACCTGAGCTAAATCCATAGCTGCCAAGAAATCCTTGGGGGCCATACCTTCCACCATTCTTCTGTTGACAGATGAAATTTCACAGCTTCTTTACCAATACCAGGTTTAAGAGGTTGTGGTACTGGAGGAAAGCCAAGATCTAATTTCTCTACTACCAGATGCAAGTGAGGTTATGGACTGTGAGGGCAGGATGGGTTATTTCCTCTCTTAAGCTGAGGTCCCTGCTTCCAGACCTTCCCTGTCAGGCTGCGGTCTGCCACGCAGCCCCCTTTGAAAGGCAAGAGGAGGCTCTGCCTGTATTTTACCCGGGGGCCGTGCCTGCCGCTCCGCCGCTTCCTCTGGAAAGCTGCGATCTCCTCCGTTTTGATGCGCAGGATCTTCTGGTGTTGCTCGTGCTTCAGCTCCAGCTCCTGCATGGGAAAGCAGCTGCGAGCATGAAGAGGGCAGCAGCAGCTTTGCCCTACAGCCAGGGGCTGAGGAAGAGGTTCTGTTCTCTGCTAAGTCTTTACACCCTCTTAAAAGCTATCCTCTCTCCACGGCAATCGCAGCC